CAGGTACGGTAAATACAGTATCTCCTAAACCTGCACCGTTTAGGACATATTTACATTAGCAGCGTTGCTGATGCCACTGGCTCATGCGCACTACACTCTAAAGGGACTGTGTGCCGTCTATTGAGAGAGCTGTGTCGTGGCTGAGACTCCCAGGCACAGGAGTGCCGTCATCGTGTTCTGGCCAGTCAAACTGCCACAGCCCATGAACCTGGAAGAAGAACCAGGTGAAGATGGAAGCCCCAGGGAGCTAAGACAATGCTGGAGGACTCTGTCCCTTCCTCTTTCTAACTCTCCTCTCCTTAAATACTCTTCACTGCTGGAGGACTCTGCTCCTTCCTCTATCTAACGCTCTACTACTGAAATACTCTGCACTGCTGGAGGACTCTGCTCCTTCCTCTATCTAACGCTCTACTACTGAAATACTCTGCACTGCTGGAGGACTCTGCTCCTTCCTCTATCTAACGCTCTACTACTGAAATACTCTGCACTGCTGGAGGACTCTGCTCCTTCCTCTATCTAACTCTCTACTCCTGAAATACTCTGCACTGCTGGAGGACTCTGCTCCTTCCTCTTTCTAAGTCTCCTCTCCTTAAATACTCTTCACTGCTGGAGGACTCTGCTCATTCCTCTATCTAACGCTCTACTACTGAAATACTCTGCACTGCTGGAGGACTCTGCTCCTTCCTCTATCTAACTCTCTACTCCTGAGATACTCTGCACTGCTGGAGGACTCTGCTCCTTCCTCTTTCTAACTCTCCTCTCCTTAAATACTCTTCACTGCTGGAGGACTCTGCTCATTCCTCTATCTAACACTCTACTACTGAAATACTCTGCACTGCTGGAGGACTCTGCTCCTTCCTCTATCTAACTCTCTACTCCTGAAATACTCTGCACTGCTGGAGGACTCTGCTCCTTCCTCTATCTAACTCTCTACTCCTGAGATACTTTGCACTGCTGGAGGACTCTGCTCCTTCCTCTATCTAACTCTCTACTCCTGAGATACTCTGCACTGCTGGAGGACTCTGCTCCTTCCTCCATCTAATTCTCTACTCCTGAAATACTCTGCACTGCTGGAGGACTCTGCTCCTTCCTCTATCTAACTCTCTACTGAAATAATCTGCACTGCTGGAGGACTCTGCTCCTTCCTCTATCTAACTCTCTACTCCTGAGATACTTTGCACTGCTGGAGGACTCTGCTCCTTCCTCTTTCTAACTCTCCTCTCCTTAAATACTCTTCACTGCTGGAGGACCCTGCTCCTTCCTCTATCTAACTCTCTACTCCTGAAATACTCTGCACTGCTGGAGGACTCTGCTCCTTCTTCTATCTAACTTTCTACTCCTGAAATACTCTGCACTGCTGGAGGACTCTGCTCCTTCCTCTATCTAACTCTCTACTCCTGAAATACTCTGCACTGCTGGAGGACTCTGCTGATCTTTTATTGAAAAGAATCAAGCAACAAAACTTTATGCCAAAGTAAAAAAACATAACCATGATACAGTCATACTTCAACAGAAAACAAAAGGCATGCACATCCATGTTCAGAATATATACAATATATACATAGTCTACTACCAAAACTTTCACACTGTAGAAAACTATTTACATAAAGCAACAGAGGGGGCCTAAGAGGCACAACCCATCACCTATGTATGCAGCTATTTTTCAAAAATTAAGCATCAAGGAAAAAAACTAGGGTGATAAGAGACAGACAGCCACGCCCTGGAAAGAGACTCCTGGTAGTCAGGGAGGCCTGAAACCCCATCCACGCCTTCAACCAAGCCCCCCAACCCCACTTGTCTCTCTTAAGCACCTGAATCTTCCCCACCTCATGCAAAATGTCACACACCACCACCTGAACAGGAAGGATTGTATGCCAAGTGGTGACCGTGCATTCTAGGTGAAATAACGGACTACTAGGCTAACTAAAAAAAGTGTATCCAAACAAAAAGCCCCACCAGTGTTGAATGCTCCGTACACCCACTCAGCATAACCCAGCCTAGAGAGGAAAGGAACACTGAGGGATTGCCTGATCTGTTTGTATACCTCCATGTTAAAAGGGCAATGAAGCAGAAAATGGTCCATAGTCTCCTCCTCATCTGCACACTCCTCCCGAGGACAACTACGATCCATCTCACTGCGATATTTCAAATTGCCCCAAACATAGATCCTCCCATGAAAGCACAGCCAGGCCAGATCCCTAAATTTAGGGGGGACTCTATCCAAATTAATCAGCCTTACCCCTTCCCTCATAATTTCACCTGGGGAATCTCTTAAGACCAGTGGGTCATGAAAGACTTCACTCAAGACTCAGCTCATAAGGACTTTCCTTGGAGCGGATCTGAGATCTTCAGCCAACAATCGCCACTGCCGCAGCAACTTCAGGCACGGAAAGACATAGGCTGGAAGCTGACCACAATGACCCCTGAGATTTTTCACTTGACCACCTTCCTCCCAAAGTCGTAGAAAAGGCCTAAACCAAGATCTAAACATGCCTGCCCATCCAGGAGGTTACACTGCAAGCATATTACCAATATTAAACTTGAGAAAAATCAGTGAAAAGATAATAACTGGGTTGACCATACATAAGCCTCCCTCCCTCCTGGACAGATAGGTGACATTCCTCTTGATGAGGTTCAGTCTGTTCCCCCACAACATCTGGAATTACACACTAGAGACCTTACCATAGAGAGACACTGGCAAGATGCAGACAAAGCTGACATACAAGAAGACCGGAATCAGGTAAGTCTTAACCAAATCAACCCTTTCCCTCAGAGATAACTTCCATCTCTTCCAGCTTATCACCCTAGTATTGGCAACTTCCAGGCTGCCTTCCCAATTTTTAAGGCCATAATCACCGGGTCCGAATTCAATGCCTAGTATCTTTATTTTTTCCTGGGGTGTTGGAAAGGTGTCCGGGAGATCAAACACCTCACCTTCTTTTCCCATCCAGAAAACTTTACTGTTATCCTGATTGATCTTGGAGCCTGATGCTTCAGAGTACCGTGATGTCAGAGAGACCACCTCCTCTGCTTCATCCGTCCCAGTGACAATCACTAATACATCATCTGCATAGGCAACAACCCTCAAAGGTGAAGCTTATGATGTACTCCCAGCTTCCAGCTACATGAATGAGGGCATAGAAGAAATTTTCCCTAAAACCCATCCCCAAGATTAGATCATGCCTTGCTGGAGGGATTGCACCATCTTCCCATTTAAGTATGACGACATTTCGCCTTGGACCCCCCGGCAGAGGTCAGAGACCCAAGACCCGATCCTGAGGTGCTCAAAACGGTGGTTTGTGGGGGGAAAACCTGCTTGGAAGTGGAGTTCCCCTTTGACTGCAGCCCTGGCTTGATGACATTAATGGGAGCAGAGCCTACTACCTAAGCAAAGGTAGGCTTATCAAGGCCAAGGCCCCACACTAATACAGCATTAATCTGCACATTACTATTCACAGATGGATTTAAGTTAGTAGGACTGTCCTTCACACCTGTCCTGGTAGAATTGTCCTTCACACCTGTACTGGTAGGATTGTCCTTCACACCTGCACTGGTAGGATTGTCCTTTACACCTGCAATGGTAGAATTGTCCTTCACACCAGCACTGGTAGAACTGTCCTTCACACCTGCACTGGTAGGATTGTCCTTCACATCTGCACTGATAGGATTGTCCTTCACACCTGCACTGGTAGGATTGTCCTTCACACCAGCACTGCTAGGTTTGTCCTTCACACCTGCACTGGTAGAATTGTCCTTCACACCTGCACTGGTAGGATTATCCTTCACACCTGCACTGGTAGGTTTGTCCTTCACACCTGCACTGGTAGAATTGTCCTTCACACCTGCACTGGTAGGATTATCCTTCACACCTGCACTGGTAGGTTTGTCCTTCACACCTGCACTGGTAGAATTGTCCTTCACACCTGCACTGGTAGGATTATCCTTCACACCAGCACTGGTAGGTTTGTCCTTCACACCTGCACTGGTAGGTTTGTCCTTCACACCTGCACTGGTAGGTTTGTCCTTCACACCTGCACTGGTAGGATTGTCCATCACACCTGTACTGGCAGGATTTTCTATCACACTTGTGTTGTAAAAACTGTTATCAGTCACACAGACATTAACCTTTCCATCAAGTGCAGTCACAGTCTCCACTGCAATACCACTGGTCACCCGACTCTGCACTATAGAGCTTTGATCAGCAGCTGTGACTGGGCAAGCAGCTTTGGATTTGGCCAAAGAAGGGTTAGTGGGTTCTGCTGGCATTTGTAGTCCCACTGCAGAAATTTCATATTTGTTTTTTAATGCACTTTTTGCTTAGAACACCATCAGTCAAAGCATTGCTGGACATGGGGTCACTGGGCAAACTGTCAGCATTAGTCACAGTGTTAAAAGACACAAAAATTGTTTTATCCACAGTTTGGGGCTTGATAGGCTTTACCTTATCAGGCACATTATCGGGTATGTCCTCACCATCAAACACCAGCTGATTCCCCTGCATTGGAGACTCCATTGACCAGATCACCCTTAGCATGCCTCCTGAGTCCTGAGAAGGCATAGGGCTGATTACCTCACCCTGAGGGAGTAGGGGGTCAGAACTGGAGGTCTGCTCCTCCACCTCCATCTTTGCCATCCTTGCAAACCTTCTGTCATTGCAAAATGTCTCCTTGAAAGGCCCATCTCTCCCTTCCATTATAGTCACAATGGTTTTTTGGTGTTCCACCTACACTTTAGCCAACTGGATTTCCAAATCCATGTTCTAACGCTGCTTTTGCAATCACGTAGGACTGGAGGACTCTGCTCCTTCCTCTATCTAACTCTCTACTCCTGAGATATTCTGCACTGCTGGAGGACTCTGCTCCTTCCTCTATCTAACTCTCTACTCCTGAGATATTCTGCACTGCTGGAGGACTCTGATCCTTCCTCTAACTCTCCTCTCCTGAAATATTCTGCACTGCTGAATTACTCTGCTCTTCCAGTTTTGTTGCACTAAATAAAACTTACATGACTTCTTTTTTAAATCTCTTCAAAGCTTCCTCAGCCACCAGTTCTCCAAACTTTGGGTCCTCCATGGTGATGTGTCCAGGCACTGTGAAGGTGAAAGACTCAGAGTCGAAAAGTTTGACTGTGACAGTGGTGTCAGATGGAGCCCCTCCGCTGGAGGAATAGGCCTGTGAAAGGAACATAGTATCATTATTTATTTACAAAAAAAGAAAGTAACTGATCACATGGAGGGCCACAGCAATATTATTTCTACAAGTGAAATACAAGGACAGGACAGGAAAGAAAAGAAAAGGAAAGGAAAAGGAAAAGGAGGAGAGAGGAGAGAGGGGAGGAAATGAGCCCTAGTACTCACTGTAGACACTTGGAAGATTCCATTCATGTCACTATCGGTGAGGTTGGCCAGCTTGGACACCCAGCTGTATTGGTGACTCAAGTCCTCCAGGATTCCGGTGGTATTCAGCATTTTCTCCCGGAATCTCTGTAGCAGATCATCGTACAGCTTGGTATACTTCTCTGCTAAGCGAACGGAGTCTTCAAATTTTTCCCGCAGTTTTTCTTGCATTGTATCCTTCCCTGAACAATCTGTCATGGGCAAGAAGATAATACAAATCATCAAATATTATCTTCACCAATCTTTAGAAAGTAATCTCATCTTCCGTTAGATACCCTTTTAGGTGGCATGGGATATAAGGCTGGAGTGGTCATGTAAGCCAAGCCAGGTTGCTTAAGCATGTATAAATCCTAGAACAAAAATGTCATATATTGCATCTAATAAAGCCCTTAGATAAGGTGGCTGCGTTCATTTTATTTTTCCTTTATTTTTCATCTGGTGATCCTGCCAGAACAGAACACCTGAACACTCACTCATTGCACTGCCAGAATATTCATTCAATGCATTGTATCTATGGGGGAGCAGTGCTGTCACACACGCAATCTCCATTGCAAAGGAAGAAGTGTTTTCTAGCTCACAGAAGACAGCAGTTAAAGGCTGATAACATTGTGTGAGAAATCAGTTCAGGAAGGGCCGTAGATAAGGAGGTACCACCAGTCCTCCTGTATAAGGCCCAGGCCAACTAGGGGGCCCAGGAAGCTGGGTGAATCAGATGTGGGCAGGAGAGGGGGTGACCGGCGGGGGAACAATTACTGGAACCGATCCCCTGTATGGCTCTCTCCGTAGCAGCTGAAAGCTGGCTTCTTCTCTTCTACCGTCTGCTGACTTTCAGCTGCTGCAGAGAGAGCCATACAGGGGATCAGTTCCAGCAGCTGCCCCCACAACACCCTTTATCCTCCCCATGCACCATATGTTTTCTCCATTGCCTAAGCCCCCTGGGGTTCCCCCACCCCCACAGTGCTGCCGGCTTCCCTCCTTTTCCTTCCTACGGCAGCTGTAAGCACACAATAGGATCCTTTAGGATGGAGAGTGGGTGGAGGGTTTGGTAAATATGTCACAAGCCCCTTCTTTTCCTGAATGAACACAATGAGTTACATAGTTACATAGCAGGGGCGGACTGACGACTCATGGGGCCCCCGGGCAATAGGGGATCATGGGGCCCCTGTGTCCTCGCCCATGCTCAAACCACACCCAAAAAAGCCTAAAAAAGGTACCAGTAGCATCTCATATGGCCCCCTACTGACCCCGGCCCTCGGGCTGTGCCCGAGTTCCCCAATGGTCAGTCCGCCCCTGTTACATAGTCAGTCTAGCTTTAGGTGCCCACTCTCAAGATGAAAGCTTTCAGAATATGAGGGTGCAGTAAGTAATTTTTTTAATAAAAGGAACACAAAGGATTAAAAGTACAGTTAATGTCAAATGGCATCGCATAAGCTGTCACTCTCACCGGGGTGCTTTTAAAAAAGAAAAACATCTGGAACTTCGCTTTCAGGTTTGTTTTACCTTTAGGCATTAGTGGGTTTACAGTTACATTTTATTTATTGATTTATTTCATCCTTAAAACATAACTAAAAGGTACAACTTTTTGTTTAGTTTTGGACGAAGTAGAGAGGGACTAGAACCCCTGTCAGGTTTCTATTGCTGTCTGTGCCCCTGTTAGGGAGATTCAACCTCTCTATGTGTCCTGATTACCATTATAGTTACATAGTTAGTCTGGCTGAAAAAAGACAAAAGTTCATCCAGTTCAACCATTAAAAAAAAAAAGTTATAATCCTATACCCACAGTTGATCCAGAGGAAGGATCCAGCACCGATCATTCACTGTGTTCATTCGTAACTGAAGCATAGTCAACTGTGTTTTTTTTGGGGGGCCGTATAGGACCTCGTGGTTTCTAACAAGATCCCTGAGTTCAGGGCACAGGAAATTACAAGGACATTGCACAGTTCTTGTACAAAAACATGTACTTGCAGGAAATGTTCTTAGCCTGAAAAAAAGAAAACAAATGCAGCCACATCTAAGGACCAATAAGCTTCAATATATTATTTTTGTTCTTGGGTTTTGATCTACTTTACTGCTGACCACACAGATTGTTCCAATCTTTTACATACATTATACATAGGACTTTGTTCAATTGGAGCAGATACTGTGATTTTCTTGGAAAAGTGTAACTCAAGCCCAAACACTTTTTGTAGTTTTTAGATGGAGTGGAAAGCGGTAGAAACTCTTTAAAGATTTTACTGCTGTCTGTCGGCTAGAATGGATAATCTCCTGTGGGGCACATAATAAAAACCTATTGGGCTCCAGCATTCTACCAACTATACCAAAGAAGAGTGTTTTTATTACTGTGCACCTCATGTTGTCACCAGGACAGGAAGTGAGAGGAAATCTCTTCATTTGGGGCCACAGAAAACAGTGAATACTGATAGATGTTCTAACCCTTTCCCATGCTATCTAACACACTTTGGTAATAAAATGTACTATCAGTCATGCACAGTTGTACAGGCTCCTTTCATGTTCTGAAATTGCTGACTCTGATTTCCCTGCAGACTGTATGCTTCTCACAGTGTGCATTAGAAGCTGCATCATGTCAGAGTTTACTTCATTTAGTAGCTAGAGGTCACCCAGCATCATCTAGCTCTTTCCTTTATTGCTTTACTATGCCTTGCTCATCCCTTTAATTAATTGGATTTCAGTTCTTGCAATCAGAAAGGATCAGCATTACGTAGAGTGGTTTGTTTGCAAATTCAGCCTGCCTCTGAATTTCCACTCCTCCAGACTGACATTCCATCAAGGCATTTTTTTTATTTGCATCAGGGCTAAGGACTCTTCAGAGGAGTGCTGAGGCAGGAAGCTATGTGCAGCACCCCAATGACCTCTCCCTCTATGGTCTGCTTGCATTGCATAGAGAAACACAGATACTCAGTGATGAGTCTAAAATAAGGTATGTAATGAAAGCAATAAAGATTTATTTCACAATTATATTGGCATGTTGAGGGGGGAAGGCAAAATACAATGCCTTGAAAAAGTATTCATACCCTTTGCAATTTTCCACATTTTGTCATGTTATAACCAAAATTGTAAATGTATTTTATTGGGATTTTATGTGATAGACCAACACAAAGTGGCACATAATTGTGAAGTGGAAGGGAAAATGAGAAATGGTTTTCAAATATTTTTGCAAATAAATATCTGAAAAATGTGGCGTGCATTTGTATTTAGCCCCCTTTACTATGATGCACGTAACTAAAATCTAGTGGAACCAATTGCCTTCAGAAGTCACCTAATTAGTAAATAGAGTCCACCTGTGTTTAATATAATCTCAGTATAAATACAGCTGTTCTGTGAAGCCCTCAGAGGTTTGTTAGAGAACATTAGTGAACAAACAGCATCATGAAGGCCAAGGAACACACCAGACAGGTCAGGGATAAAAAGTTGTGGAGAAGTTTAAAGCAGGGTTAGGCTATAAAATAAATATTCCAAGCTTTGAAAATCTCACAGAGCACTGTTCAATACATCATCCGAAAATAGAAAGAGTATGGCACAACTGCAAACCTACCTAGACATGACCATCCACCTAAACTGACAGGCCGGGCAAGGAGAGCATTAATCAGAGAAGCAGCCAAGAGGTCCTGGAGGAGCTGCAGAGATCCACAGCTCAGGTGGGAGAATCTGTCCGCAGGACAATTATTAGTCGTAGACTCCACAAATCTGGTATTTATGGAAGAGTGGCAAGAAGAAAGCCATTGTTCAAAGAAAGCTATAAGAAGTCCCGTTTGTAGCTTGCGAGAATTCATGTGGGGGACACAGCAAACATGTAGAAGAAGGGGCTCTGCTCACATGAGACCAAAATTGAACTTTTTGGCCTAAAAGCAAAGGGTTATGTGTGGTGGAAAACAAACACTGCACATCACCCTGAACACACCATCCCCACCGTGAAACACGACGGTTGCAGCATCATGTGGAAATGCTTTTCTTCAGCAGGGACAGGGAAGCTGGTAAGAGTTGATGGGAAGATGGATGGAGCCAAATACAGGGAAATCTTAGAAGAAAACCTGTTAGAGTCTGCAGAAGACTTGAGACTGGGGCGGAGGTTCACCTTCCAGCAGGACAACGACCCTAAACATACAGCCAGAGCTACAATGGAATGGTTTAGATCAAAGCATATTCATGTGTTAGAATGGTCCAGTCAAAGTCCAGACCTAAATCCAATGGAGAATCTGTGGCAAGACTTGAAAATTGCTGTTCACAGATCCAATCTGACAGAGCTTGAGCTATTTTGCAAAGAAGAATGGGCAGGAATGTCCCTCTCTAGATGCAAAGCTGGTAGAGACATCCCCAAAAAGACTTGCAGCTGGAATTGCAGTGAAAGGTGTTCTACAAAGTATTGACTCCGGGGGGCTGAATACAAATGCACGGCACACTTTTTGAGATATTTATTTGTAAAAAAAAATGTTGAAAACCATTTATCATTTTCTTTCCACTTCACTTTGGTCTGTCACATAAAATCCCAATAAAATACATTTACAATTTTGGTTGTAACATGAGAAAATGTGGAAAATGTCAAGGGGTATGAATACTTTTTCAAGGCACTGTATAAGATTAAACTTCAGCTTTAATATGTTGCAGACTGGACAGAATCAGATAAATTGCAGAGAAAACAGGTTGGGCAGATTAAGGAATATAGCGTAACCACCACTACCAGGCTGAGCTTGTTTGGGGGAAAGTTGATCGTTCTGAGACAGCTGGTGCCGCATCACACTGACTTTTCTATAAACACAAGCTTGCGTGTTCGCCCAATATATTGTTGTATATCTGTAGACAGATCTTTTGTTAGATGTCTGTTAGATGATCCTAAGGTTTATAGGCAGCTATAGATGAGTCATGATTCCCGCTTCAGAAACTGGGACAGGATAACTTTTCTGGCAGATGTAACACCCTCCAGCGTGTCCTGAGTCTTCTCCATCAAACTGGTCAGGACTGGAACACATCCATTAGGAACTTGGCACGGGGAACTTGGATCTCGGCAGTGATGGACCTGCCAAGCACACTGATACTGATGTGAATAAAGAAGTTGCTGCTGGTAGAGTACACGTTATAATCATTTAATGGAGATCTGTGCGCTATACCTTCTTACTCTGCATGTAGGACCCCAGAACAACTACTCTTTCCGTTGTGGTGTATTACTGCACACATGCACTGTATCAAAAATAAATAAGGTGCACATTTTCTTAATGCAGTGCACCCAGTACCGGGACAAGGTCATCTAGCACTCAGGGCGAAGACGACAAAGTGCACCCAACCACCACAAATCCCCCCTTCTGTAGCAATCGTGTACACAGAGACAGACACAGCCCTCCATTTTGTTAAGAATTCTCCATGTTGTCCCATCATCCCCCCTCCCTCTCTGTTCATCCACAGTGACATGTGGCCTGTGTGTTGGCCGAGGTTATAGGCAGCCAAAGCACAGCAGGCAGCTCCGAGCTATAAACCCCCCCCCCCCCCCCCCCCCCCCCCCCCCCCCCCCCCCCCCCCCCCCCCCCCCCCCCCCCCCCCCTTCTGTAGCAATCGTGTAGGGAGTTGGGTGCCTGGCTGTCTAAGAAACTGTTCAATCTGGCATATCGTAAAAACTGTATAACCCAAAGCCTTTCCCTGAATTCAAAGACATTCCAGAGGAGTAATAAACTAGATACCAAATTCAAAATCTATTTTCCCCCTATGTCTCATATCTTGGAATATGAGAGACTCACATAAAAACCAGGCATATCTTCAGATTGGTAACGTAAGACAAACAGTTTGATATGTCACTCTCCTTGGCTGGCATACATAGAAAATCAGAAAAGTATATCTCTTGAACCATTCAAGTGTATATTTCATATCTCATATCTAATCATTCCACAGATGCGTCTGCATATAATCTACCCACGGGTGGGATGTCAAATGTACCTAGGAAAAGTTATGGGCCAAAATATAAGCTAGGAGAGATTCTGGTTGTAACTTACGTCTCCACCTACACTTCCCTCCCCAAATAAGGCAATTGGTTCTTTGTTGTAAGGAGACACCCCGCTGAGATTGTAGAAAAAGAATGTTAAGCTTGGAGTTGGGGGTGAGAGAAAGCAGAGTCTCCTGCGTTTAACATCGAAACTAGCAGTAGAAACAAGAAATCCTTTTTGGCTCAGGAGACTTGAAGCTGCTTAACCCAAGGCTTTTTGGCAAGTACTTACCTACCTAAACTTCTTTCTGTTATCTTTTTGCTGTGTTATTGCTCTCTGTATATTTATATATATATTGGTTACATCTTTTTCCTGTAAATATTTTTATTGCACCCTTTTGACATTTTAGTAATAAATCTTTCTTTCTGAAAGTGTTGAACTGTTTCTAAAGCTCCTTAATGCAACTTACGAATTCCTGCCACTGAAGAGCGCGCTACTATGTGTGTTTAACCCTCTGTATAACCTGTCTGCGGTGACAGTGGTATACAGACGATTATCCAATCATCCTAGTGATATTGCCGATGTTGCCGAGTTTCCTCTTTCTCTGTACAAAAAGCAGGTGGTGGCAGTGTGAAGGGTTAATTGCGTAATTAACCTGACCCAGTAACAATCGCGCTCAGGCTGCTGGTACATCGATTTGTGGTCCAGTGAGCTGGAAAATCGTTGTGCAGGGTGCAGCTGGGTGTGGCATTGTTACGCACGTGACATCACGGTTTTAGATTGGCTAGTCCTTCAGTCACAAGTTTGGTGAGAAGGTCTGGGGTCTGACGCCGTGATTGTCACACCTTCTACCACAAATCCAGTCCCCTCTTCCCCCATTGAGTCCCCAGTACAATTCCCCCATCCCTCCATGATCTTGCAGACCTTAAATGCTACAGGAGCAGGAACTCACCATGCAGTGCCCCCCCCCTCCCTCCCTCACATGAATTACTGCGCCAGGAGCACCTTCCCCTCCTGCCCACCCCTTGTCCCATCCTGACTGTGCCACAAAGCACGGTATGTGCACTGCAGATCATTGCAGTCTGGCTCCATTGGCACCTACTGTTCTGTGTGCATCAGGGTGCCATTCTTAAAGCAGAGCTCCACCCAAAAGGGGAAGTTCCGCTTTAAGGACTTTTCCCCCGCTCCCCATTAACGATTAGCTCCTTTGGGGAGTGGGTACTCGATTTTAAACAGGTACCCACTCCCACTTACCTTCCGACCGCCTAGGCGATTGGAAGTTCTCCTCCACCCCCACCCACCCCCTGCAGTCTTCAAGGATACATGACAGGTCCCAGAAGACTACGGGACCATTCACAAAGCGCAGCGCTGCTCACACTTGCACAGTGGGCACCCAACTGTGAAGCCGCAAGCTGTCACAGCCGGGTGTCCACCCTTAGGATATCGACACCAGGGACACAGGATGGCTGGTGAAACCACCTGCAGTGAGGACACACCGCTGGATCAAGGGACAGGTAAGTGGCTGTTTTTTAAAAGTCAGCAGCTGCAGTTTTTGTAGCTGCTGACTTTTATTTTTTTAACAGGAAACTGGAGCACCGCTTTTAATGATTGGCACTACACATAGGACAAATTGCTATGTGTTATCCTGTGCTGCAGTAATGCATAGTAAATCCCACATTTTTCTGCATGTTACCAAAAGTACGAAGACAGCCTAAATCACCTTGGAGAAGAGAGATGCCTGTGTGTCTAGCACCTTGATATAATTTTCAACATCATCATCCTATTCTTCTACATGAATCCATCCAGAAGTTTTTTTCATAGTTTGGTTCGAAGTGGGGAATGGAAAAAAAAAACCTTTCTCTGTTTTTTTTTTTTCTGTTTGTATGCTCAAACAGGAGATTTCTACTCATTCCAGTAACTAGTCTCACTTACTGGGACAGAAATTCAGAGGAAATTCTGCTCTTAAAGCAGTGGTTGTCAACTTATGAGCTAAAGGGGCCCTCAAATGCTGTTCCTGACATCACCAAAGGGCAGCACGTAATGTTCAATATATGTAATGCTTGAGAGGACTTTCAAACTGCAGACCTAACAGAGGAGATGAGGGTCAGAGAGTGTAGACAGGATACATTTTTTGGTTGGGATATGCTGCAGAAGACAATACGAAACTGGAAACATAATACATGAGGCTGGTAGAGATCAATACTATTACCCTAATCAATGTTCCCACTACAGACTGCTGAGGTCTGAGGACCGCACATCATATACCAAAGGGCAGGGCCAGATTTAGCCTGATCTGGGGGTGCAGTGAAAAAAAGTCAGGGGGCACAATGTCAACACTGTGTGTGAGTTACTGACAGTCTGTCACATTGTGTCACCACCTGGGAAACACTGTACAGTATGTATTAGGCTGCCATTAGATTAGGATGATTAAACAGACCCTGTGCCCTCCCCCCATCCCCCATCAGGGTCCCCTTCTAAATTATGGTTTCCATCACTTCCCCATTGCATCAAGGTCCACATCAGAGTTCTCCTTTTACATCAGGGTCCTCAACAACAGGATATTTATCAGAATGCTCCCTTACGTCAGGCTCCCCACCATAGTCCCCCTTACATCAGGGTCCCTGTCAGAGTGCTTCCTTATATCAACTGTCCCCATCAGAGTGCCCCCTTACATCAACTATCCCCATCAGAGTGCCCCCTTACATCAACTGTCCCCATCAGAGTGCCCCCTTACATTAACTGTTCGCATAAGAGTGCCCCCTAACATATGATCAGTTACCCCATCACATCAGGTATCTGAATCAGAGTGCCCCTTTACATCAGGTATCCCCATCACAGTGCTCTCTTGCCACCACAAGACTGGCTCGTGGATTAGTGGATGCACTCTCAGAGACCTGGGGGGGGTCTCAACTAAATTCTGGGCGGGGGGGCACATCCCACACAAACATCCTCCTAGATCCGCCCTTGCCAAAGGGCCACATGTGGCTGCAGCAGGTTGGGCACCAGGGTCTTAAATAAGTGCCCCTTTCCCCTTCGTCAAACCTAACCTAACCACCCTTCACAAATGCATATTTACCAATGGCAACAATTCCTCTCTCTGCTTACATCAAGCGGTAAAAGTGTTCAGTGTCTTGACTGCACCTTCGCATTATAGCTCCATAGACTCTTAAGGGATCATCTCCTATCACCTTTAGCCTTGGAACACAGCCCCTTAGCAGTCTATGGGTACTAATGTCTGGGTGAGGCCAGGACAGTGAGGACTTGCAGCTAAAGTGTGAGTTTGAGATACAGTAAGCCAAAATGTTTGTTTTTTTCAGATGGGAAAGGAAATTGTTAAAAACCCACGTAATTGTTTCCATTTGTGTCATATTCATGAGATTTCCCTTCACTTTCTGTCTTTTATGCACAATCAGCATTGAGAAGAAATCTTCAAAGTAAAGTAAATTCCCCCTTAGATGTCACCAGAGCCAGTGCCCCCTTTGGAAAATTTCTTGTCTTACCCTGGTCTGGTGGAAACTCAAAAGTTTGGATTTTTGATCACTTCATTTCTGGTGACAATAGCCAACAGGACAAATAGGGTGAATTTTCCTTATTGGAGACACAACAGCAAAAAACACCTGATGGGGGTTTTAGCCTCTTACCACTATATCCATAAATTAAAAAAAAAAAAGTTTTGCCTTTAGATACAATTTAAAGCGATACTCATTAATTTCCCAAAACAATAATAATGGTGGTTCCTTTAAAAAAAAAGGAAAGAGGAGCAACTCAACTCTTTAGTGGTCAGTGTCTCCTACCTTTGCTGTCAAACTCTTCAGCATTCAACACATCTGGGAGCACACACGCCTGATGTGCCCAATATGAGTGACTCCCACCATTCTTGCTGGACTTTTACAAATTTACATTATAATGAATGTAACAGAATGGATTTGGAACACACAAAGATGGGCAAGAACGCCCAAACTGTGACGTGGACTGGTACAGAGCCAGGAATTTTTGGCAGGGGGCATCCAAGACACGAAGCCTGGGGCTCTGTCTCTTACTAAGATATCATTTTGGGTTGACTCATCTTTTAACTAAGAAAAGCAGCCCATAACTAACCACGGTTCATCTGTCACTGCTGTTAACAGTGGCACTTGTCATATATAGACACTTACCCACTGCCAGAATTTCCTTGCACTTCTCACACTTGTCCTTCATCTTTAAGCAGCTGCCAGTATTTCGTCTGAGTTCCCGACATACCATTTTGTCATCAGTAGCATTACCCATCCCTAAGAAGAGAAATGTAAAAAAAATACATAGTGGCTATTGAAAAAATAAATAAACAAAGTGCACTCTTATCACGTATGGACATTTTGCATTTGGAAATTACCTACCTGCTGATTTTCTTTAATTTTCATGTCTCCTAGGCCACCCCACTAGTTGAATAGTAGCTAGCATGTTTATTTTTTGAAAAGCCCTGAATTTGAACTTTTATGTCAGTCATCTGAAGATTTGGTACATTCATAAAACCACCATTTACCCAAGGTATGCATCTCCCCTTCTTGTAATGGGAAATCTAGGTCTCAACTACTGTATGTTTATCTTATTTGTAAGAATCATCAATTTTACCATCACTCATGTTGACATGATCTAAGGAAGGGGCAAGTCCCTGAAACATGTTATCATGATGACCAGCTTCTCTCTTTTGGTTTGATATGGTTTGAGTGCTCCCCTAGTCTTCCAGTTTGCCCTCATCAGCCCATGTTCGGGTGGTCTCTCGCCAGGTGTATGACAAGACAACTGTATGTGGGACACATGACTTCTGGTGAAGGTGCCATCTTAGTGATCCCAGTGGCTGCCATCCACACACCCTTCCCACTGTCCTGAGGCTCCTGGGCTGAGCAACCTACTGTTGGGACCAGGATCATGTGGCATCCTCCAGCTTCTGGGAATATGTGTTTCTCCTCTCCACTGGCTTGGTGATGTATTAATCTGGGCACTCCTACATGTCATGCTTTTTTTTAACCCATCATTAAAGTGAATTTCTATTTTATTTGTTCCTGGGCTTGTGACTCTATTGGCTTCCACAGGGTTGGGAGCCTTTCTATTATTTGTTGTTTAACGCCGTCGCAACCGGGTGCCCACACTTAAGATGCCGGCACCGGGGAGCCAGGACAGCTGGAGAAAACTGCTGTAGTGAGTACACTGCTGGATTGTGGGACAGGTGAGTGGCTGTTTTTTAAAAGTGAGCAGCTACAGTTTTTGTAGCTGCTGACTTTTATTTTTTTTTTATCTTTGACTGGAGCTCCGCTTTAATCTCATATCACCCAAACTGTCCTCTTTCTTCCTCCCAAGACCTCCTGCTCTTCAGCATCTTTGTAATTTATTCCCTTTCTTACCTCAAGGACTTCCCTAGAACTTCTCCCATCCTCTGGAACTCTTCACCCCAATCTGTCCAGCTATCTCCCACTCTGTCTGCCTTTAGGCGATCCCTGAAAATCCATCTCTTGAGGCAAGCCTATCCCACCTTTACCTAAAAACTGTACTTCTACTTTCTCCATCAACCCACACAGTTGTTACCATTTGTATCACTTGTCCCCCCTCCCACTTTTAGATTGTAAACCTTCACAAGCAAGGCCATCCTAACCCTTTTGTTTTTAATTGTAAATGTAATGCCCTTATAAGTGCTGCCCAAACTGTTGCTGCTATATAAATCATGTATAGTAATAATAATAGCAAACAGTATCAGAATACAATTGTAGCTGAACTCCAAAATGTTTATTTTTGTTTTTTTTTAGTTTTGTAAACAGCTTCGTACAACTTACAAGCTACTAGTGTAGATATTTTTTTTGTATGATTTCTCATAACTTTTTTTTTCGAACATCTTTTTGTATGATAATTCTGCACTATATCACTATATCACCTCACTTATCCAAAGATTTAATAGTAAGGTCTTGATATTTAAACATTTCTCATAATCATTTATTACATCCTATACATAAGAGGAAACATTAGAATTTGTCTGTTGTTTTACTTTTTTAGGATAATATTTAGCAAAACTTTCTCTAGGCTGATATGCATATTATACAATTATGAGATTGTAATTTTTTTTTTTATGGTTCTAAATGGGAAAATGTGTGCATGGCAAAAAGCCCTTTTAAATATGAAAACAAAAATCGAAATGTTTCCCAATGGAAATAAAAAATGTTTAATGGAGTTTTAACACTTAGGCACTGATCTGTGTCCATTTTCCATAAAGGCACTCAACTAAACTGCACTAGTATACGGCAAATATTGCCATAAAACATAAAGCCCAACTTCAGGTACCATCATTTGATTTCTTAAATGGATAAGTTCACCTTTCATAACATGTTACGTTACACTCATCTTCAGGGTGTAACATGTAAAATGTTAGAAAAGGACCTACCCACATTCCTCCAAGCGTGGAGCAATATTACTTAAAGCATTGTGGCCCTTAGGGGTCGCATGGTTAAGGTGAGGAGGCACTTTAGCCACTTTTGGATTGCGATTTACACGTGTGGCATGCTAACACGCATCATGTTTTGGAGTGAAGAATTGAAGCACTGACATCGTGGTGTTTGTTTGCACATGAAATGTTAAGCACTTGTTATTGCACTTTATTGTGGATTTTTATTTTTAATTAACATATATACTCATACTGAGCACCTGTCACTTTTAGTTAGAGTGTGCATTGTCATTGTGTATTATTTTTACTTTATATATATTGTATTTTGGCACAATCTAGTCAGCAAACGCATGATCGGTTTTGCACTCTTAGCACTTGGCACTTATATATTTTATTTATATTTATTTTTTTGGGTAATACTTAGCACTAGTTACTATACCTTCCAATACAGTGTGATCACTTTACATGTATTTTATATATTTACATATTTTTATATTATTGTACTTTATATATTTTAGTTCTTTATGTGAAGCGCTTCACCATTATTGGTTTTTTATGTTATACATCCTGTGGTATTGGGAATAGGTGGCAGCAACTTGCATATATTTGGGGTTGTGTTTGTTCATACCAGTGGAGTGCAGGGGGATCATTTTTACATTTCCTAAGAGACCATGCTATCCATGGGATTGGTGAGCGGGCGGATGCCCAACCTCTTTCTGACAACACTCTAGAGACACTGCATGCACACACCTTTACCCCTCAGTAACACAGCCTATCTGTTATCTTCATTGAATTACCATTAGTCACTACTGTATATGGGCCCCACCATTGCTAGCAGAGGACAGCGGCTACTATCACATCAGGAACTTTAAACATCTCAGGGCTCAAGTTGTTACTTCTAGTTACATAGGGACCCCATTGCATTCAAGCCATTGTTATTAAATTTAGGGTGTCTATACCCATTTATGCCAGAGTATATATAGCATATATATATGTACTTGATTCTTTGCATTCCCTATTTTTTTGATAGTGGCCCAGAGGGAGCTGATAAGTCAACAAGCCTTTTCTTCCCCTCCCGCTGCTGCTGTTGCAGTTTACATAGTTACAACATACCATTTGTAACCGTATGATCTGTTAACCAAGCCTAATATAGAGGTGTTATTAAGGAATTGTGTCTCTTGTTGAAATATGTCTGAACCTAGAGTGTCAGAGGTGTTGGGAGGCTTGCAAGGTCAGGACAACCACTAGGGACAAGCATTATCATGCAGCATCTGCAGGGATAGTGCTCCATTTGTTAAAAGGTGAACATATCCTTTAAGAGAGTTTAGTAAGTGTTTTACCGCTGTTGTTTAGTCATTTTTGCCCAAACCAGTTAAAAAAAATAAATTTTAAGGGCTTATTTATAATGTGGGGCAGATATTGTTATCTACTCTTTTCATTATACTCCATCAGGCTAGGCACGCTGTGGTCCGTATTTTACAACCCATTCATGCAGGCCACAGCATGGATTTTTCTCTGCTTATTGTAGCACAGAGATCTCTGTGATTGGACAAGAGCCGGTTAGGCAACACGGGTGTTAGTTATGGCAGTATTGCCAGTAGCACAGCAGGAGTTGTACTATCCAAGAAGACTAAAGTGTTTTTAACCTGTTTGAAGAAAGCAGACAGCAAATGGCAGAGGTAAACATCTATTAAGAACTCTAAAGCTATGAAAAATATATATCAGTTAGCAATGGGCTTTAAATAAATCTCTGGCTAACTCTTACCATCGAACCGTGGTCCTTGTTGGATCATCTGACGATGCTTCTCCATCATTTTCTGAGCAGCTTTGAAGAGGGAGTCAAAATTGCTAGTGAAAAAAGGTTCAAACAAAGGTGAGCGTTGCTTGCGGATACGCATGGCGGAAACTGGAGGGCTGATTCTCTGAAAGGGGAATGGTTCCCACTGGGGAAAACTGAAACCATTGAAAGGCCTGCTGAAAAGTGGCTTCATGTGGTCAAAAGCCTTGATGCTGTCCTGGAAGAGTTCATGTACGCTGTCTTCTACAATGCTATAGCCATCTTCGATATCCTCCAATGCCATGTGCTGCTGCTCGTTTTGCTTGTTTAGAGTGTCTATTCTCTCTCCATTGACCCAAATGGCAAAGGGAGAAGATCTATTCAAGAAGTCTTCCAGCTGTAAGGAGAAAAGGGACACCATCATTTTCACTCCATTAAAATACTTTTTCTTAAAGTTTTGTCAAATTTTCACCGGGATCGGTTTCCAGTAGGGTGCAATTTGCATGCAGTTTTTATTTTTATTTAGCCTCACGCTTTTGTGAACTTCCTCTGAGGCCTCCAGGAATGCCAACCACCCATAACTTCATAAACAGTCCATGAGAACAGAGAGAATTTTGGCTGTCCTTAAATTGCTCACAAAAAAGTCCAAAAAGTAAAAAATGAAAGCAGTTGCTAGATGATAGTAAGGCCACATTCACTTTTATTCATACACCTTATGTTGCTCCCTCCTGAGGAATTTATATTGGTCCCTCTTCCAGGGGACAATCAGAGACAATAATAATGTTATGGGAGGCAACCAGAAGAGTGAGAAAGAAATGGACCTGTGTTATGCCTGTGCTGCTACTGCTGTGGTGGGCCTCTCTCAATCCCATGTAAAGGGGATATGGTTTTATAAGATAGGTAGGCTGAGGCCTATGTTTTTTAACTGTATGGTCCTATAAAGAGGCAAAAAGAATAGTGATAAACCTCTACCAGGAAACTAGCGTTGAACGTGATCTTATTTATTTTTTTAAGCATTCACCGGACTGAGGTATATTGATATGTTTCTTCCTGTTTGGCAGAGCCATGAAAGTGTGCAGATCACAGTAAATAGTCTCATTGCTCAAAAAGTATATGAAACACCCTGCTATAAATGTCTAATGCAGGATGATGAAGCAAACACAAGATAGCAGTGTCTTGCAGAACAATAGCATTCACATGTTGAAGAATAGCCATGTGGAACCTGTATGCTGAATTGCAGGACTTTACTGAAGAACAGTGCACCAGGAAACTACATTTCCCAGAGGAGCTTGCGTGTGGGCGGGGGCATATACAATTCAAAGCCCAGGAGACTGACCAAGAAGCTAGAGGCAAGAGATCGAGAGAGGAGGAAGTGTGCTGATGGTTGGAGTTTTGGTCCAGGCCGCAGAACCAGAGTCAGAGATAGAGGGGGAACAGAATAAGTCTGCTGATCATCAGTCTTCCCCATGCTGAGGTGAGTCAATCTTTAAGCAGACCAGCTGGTGATGCCGAAACAGGACTGGAGAGTCTGAGGGGGCCCCCACCTGAGAGAACATTGACAATTTCATCACATCTGCTATCTACCTGCACATAGGTACGGACATTACACTTAGTTACCCTAGTTTGTGGCCTAGTTCTCCCAGCTGCCACCATTGGAACATATTTGCATTAGTCTTATCATCCAAGCAGACTGGAGGACACACAGCTGCAGGCCAGAGTACAGCAGTGCCCACTGATACAGTAATCTACCCTTCCCAGTTGAACATGTTTTCTACTACTGTTGCCTTTGGCCCTTGTCATCCAGAGAGAGAGTTGTTCTTGCCTACAAACACTTATGCCAACTGTTACACTTTACTACTTCAAATCTGTCTTTGTTTAGTGCCTTAAAGGGGACCTTATGTAAGTTCACTACCATTAAGAGGAGAAGTACTTATTAACTATCATCTACACCTTAGATCATCTTCACACCAACTGGGCCCCAACTAGCATGCAGAAGACTCCATATTGTTCTTAAAGGGGCATTGGTTGATTATAGACAGGTGCTCTCTCCATTTTCAAATCTAATCCCTGCCATCAGGTTCTGAGGACTCGCATTGAGCGTACCTGTTTAATGATAGTTGCTCTCGCTCGCTGGTGATTTAACAGTCACTGTAGATTGGAGGCAGTACATTATTCCTGAAAGCAGGACTGCTAACAGTTACTGGTACTTTACTGTGGATGTTGTTACTTTTACTTAAAGTTGACAAGAGTGATTATATTGCTGCATATACTAATGCTATTTTTTTTTTTTTGGGGGGGGGGGGGTTTGATCAAGCTACGTTCAGACTCAATATAAACTTCACTTTGATTTACACTAACCTGTGTGTGAGTCCATTTTACAGTGGTGACTTATTTGGGTCACAAGAGTGTGGTGGTGTAAACAGAGGTTGGGCTTTCAGAAAGAAGTCCAGGTTGACAGGGAACCCAAAAATTACTAAGCAACCCTTAAGAGGTGTAGAGCTACATATAAATAATTATTGGGATCCCTCTGCACTGAACTTATGGATACTATTTATAATTGCTTTGAGACTGACTCCCTCTGATTGAAACATTGGATGGAGCCATCTGAACCCAACAGAAGGGAAGGAAGGTAGGCTGAAGAGTCACTTCTCTGACTCCTTCTGTTGTAAATTTTAGCTTGAGATGTTTAGCTCTGTAAATAAAATGATATTTGTAGCAAAAGCACATAAGGAGATTATGGTAAAAAAAGACAAAGACATCCACAGCTGCACCTAATGCCTGAAAATGAAAATACAAGCAAGTTAGCTTTTCATAGCAGAAGAGACCTTGAGGTATGCATGTACAGCCACTCTCAGGCTTGAAAACATTTCTAGAAGTAAATATGGATTTTCTTTTTCATTATAAGCTGTATTATTCCGAGTAGTTGCTCATAATCAGGCAGAGATAAATGCCATCTGTTTCCTGCTGTCTGGAGCAAAGATGTCAGTTAAAACTATATACACCCAAAAATAAATGAAAAAGTAGTTCGTTGTTAAAAGGAAACAAGTTTTTGGTCAATTATTTTTTAAGTTATAAAGGCATCAGTTTCTAAAGTTATAAGTACCTGTAAGGCCTAAGGAGGTTGATGTAAATGCCGTCATTACATCGGTGTTCAAAAGCAGAAGGGCCCTGTTCCATTGGCAGTGAGTGCAGTGCCCCAAGTCATTGGCCTTCAATGGGTGAAGGACCTATCAATTTGGTGCTAGTCGGTGAAAGCCCCTCTATTCAATGATGGCAGTGGAAAAGGACTCTTACTCCTTCGTGGTCAGCGGTTACGTGGATGAAACAGGAGCCCCTCTTCACATGCTGATACCTGCAGACTCTGCACCCAAACAATGAGTGTAATATTAGATACTGCTCACAGATTCAGGACATGGCCAGGGCACTTTCATTCACTGAAAGTACCTGGTTGTCATCTAACCACTGAGGTTCTTGGGTCCATTACAATCAGGGACAGCCTCTTCTAGTAAAGGGACTCAGTATCTCAAAGGCTTCTATGCACTTGAACGGGATGGGAAGCTGATATTTGTACCTTGTTCCCCAGGGCATGCACACCACCTGTTAAGAACTGGCCTACAGCAACCTGGATGAAAGACAGAAGCATTAAACAGGTAGACTGGGCTCCCTGTATGCATCTCAATGATTCATTTTCAGGTTTGCATGTGCAAAGCTATAAAAAGCCAGGACTTTTTTCAGGGGGAAAGTGGGGGGGGAACGCAGTTCTGGCACTGAATGTATGTAATGGTAGGGGGTGGCGGGGTGTGCTGGAGGGTCTATTGAGGCTGGCTGCCGGGGGATTTGTTATCACTTGGGGGATCTGTTATTGCAGGGAATCTATTATTTACCTTAGGTCTACAGTTACTGTTGGGGGATTTGTTGTTGCTGGGGGGGGGGTCAATTGCTGCTGTGAGGAAACTACTATTGAGGGAGGGGGTCTATTAATGCTGGCTGCTGGCAGGGGTATGTTGTTGCTGGGGTGGATTTGTTGCTCCTGGGGATATTTTGTTGCACAGGGTCTGTTGTTGCTGTTGGGGGATCTATTATTCCAGGCTGCAAGGAATTTAATTTACTGCCTTTCTTGTTATCAGTAACAAAATTATACAAATTATTTAGCCCAAAAAATTATACTTGGTTCTGTTTTTTATAGAGGGGTGGTACTGGGAGGTGGGTAGGGGGTGGGACCAAGTGATAATTCTCCCATCTGGGTTGGTGGTGGAAATAAGGGGTGACTCAGAAGGGGGGAGCACCTGCACCTATTCTCTGAGAAAATATAGCCTTGTAAAAAGCTAAAAGAAAAAAAAGTAAAAATGGTTGTATGAGAACTACATGCATGGACTGATAATATACCAGTTCAACTGCAAAGGTCACTATCCTATCATACTTTATCTTTCAACACCACAGGAAAACCAAAACATGAAAATATGAATTCTGTTTGCTTGTAGAGGGTTTATAAATACTGCCCATTTTTGTCTTGGAAAACCTGACTGTATGTGCTCCAGAACGCTTTGGATTCTGCTTTGTATTACAACTGAAGGCATAAATTCACCTGACGCCCAACCAGGCCTGATCCGCTTCTGCAGGTCTTGGAGTAGAACCTGACGCAAGTCTGTTTGAGGCAAGGCTTACACTCCTCCCACAGTGCCAGCATGGTGTCATTGCAGATTTCCTGGGTCTCGGAGAGCTGCTGCTCAGACTCCAGAGCCTGCTTCAAAGCATCCTAAGAATATAAAAGAAAAATGTCAAGAGGCTTGTATCATGCTGCAGTAGACATCGGCAGAAAAAAAGCCTAAAACATAGGCTCAAGTTCCACAATGCATAGATTTGATAGATAAAAGAAGTGAAAGAATTACCTCCTTGCTCTTCTTGGTCTCCTCCAGTGTGCGAAGAATCTTCTGGTGCTCTTCCCCAGTTTGATCCATGAGCTGTTTCATCTGCTTGACTCCATTTAGGGCATTCTCAAACTGTTCAGTGATGTACTTTCTTCCCTCTTCTGAAATTTCTGCAGAACGAAGACAGACATTGTTACAAAAATGTCAGAAGCAATTTTCCTCAACTGACAATGATACAACAGACCATCTACATGTAGCACTACCCCCATAGGAGTTGCTGAAGATTTGGGCCCCCCTGTAGTCCTGCATAGCTAGGCAACACATATTTTCTCAAACTTGCATTCAGAATCAGTAAACAGTCCTTGAGCTTTGTTTTATTTTATATTAATGGTGTTGAACTTGGATGGGGTAAGGGTTGTATGGGATACCCAAGGAACAGTGATCTGAGGACAAACTCCTTAGCAACTATGTACAAGTCTTTACAGAGCAGAAACTCTTCTTGGAGAGCTCTCCAGCCTCACCTGGTGTACCACCACAGACCCCAGATAATCCTCTTCTTATCCAGATGCCTGAGGGAATCCCTGGGCAAGGGAATCCAGTCTCTGCCATGTTAAATTAAACTGTCCTAGGTAAGGAGCTAATCAGGTTTCCCACCAGATTGCTCTTTTCCCCTTAACCTGTGAGCTGATTTAGGTAGGTGGCTGCCTTCAGGCCTTACACTGGGCTGACTCCTTTCCTGGCTCTACAGGTGGCCCTCGCTCTGAGGGCCAGTAAGGCTGAGCGATCATCCTTTCCTGCTTCCTGCCTGCAGGTAGGCCCCTTCTTACTGGGAAGGCTCAGTCACACTTAAGGGCTGTCCTGACCCCATGTCAAGCCTCCTGCATGGAGATTGACTAGATACCCTCAAGTGTGCAGACCAGCCCCTCTTCACCCCCGCTCACTGCTTCTAGACTCTTCTCCAAGATTCCAGAGCAGGGGGAGGTATCAAGGAACTGATCTGCAGAGCCTTTCAGCCCTGACCTAAATTTTACCCAGCTGACTATTGCCCAAGCTGCTATTCAGCCCTTCTGCCTGTAAATATAATCAGCTAGCTCCCCCTAGCTAACTAGGAGGGTGCTACATACATAAAGCCACAAATTACAGTGCAGGGTGCTAAGGTGGCACCACGTTGTCATGCATGCTGATAAACATCTTTTTTAAAATGAACAGGCTCTTGCTAATATTGTGATCTATGGCTCATCATGAGTTTAAGGAACAAAATTCATCTGGTCCAGAAGGAACTGGCAGAATTTCGATAAGTGGGTGGGCTCCCCCAGCTCAACAGAAATGAATTGTTTAATCGGCTTTTGTCGAAGGGACATGTTAGAAATGATTCCATTGATCAGCAGCTGGAGCTGCTGATTAGTGCAATACAATGTATTTGGAGGGATTGTCGGATTCCTCTATCCACCTGGCTGAACAAAAAAGAAACTGTGTATGGCCACGTTATAGCATACCAAGCAGGTATATACCAGACAGTACTGACACTTAGTGCTCTGGATAGAGACAACTACATACTATAGAGGGATATGCTTTGTTCATATTTCATGTCTGAGGTTTACAACCACTTTAAGCAGACATGGTTGAACCTTCATGGATACAGAAAGAGAAAAAGGATGAAGGATGGGAGAGAGGAAGGAAAGAAAAGGAGGAAAATTGAAAGAGAGGAAGGAAGGAAAGACAGAAGAGAGAAAGGAAGGAAAGACAGGAGAATGGAAGGAAAGAAAATGAAGAAGGACAACAGAGAGGAAGGAAAGGGAAGACAAATGGGGAGACGTAAAGAAGGCATGACGGGAAGAACGAAGGAAGAAAAGCAAGGAAAAAAGGGAAGGACAAAGGCAAGAAAAGACAGGAGAGATGAAGGAAGGAAAGGAATGAAGAAATGAAGGAATCAAGGATTAAGGAAAAAGGAAGAGGAAAAGCAGAGGAAAGGAAAGGAAGAGGAAAGAAAGAGGAAAGGAAAGGAAAAGGAAAGAAAAGGAAAGGAAGAGGAAAGGAAAGGAAGAGGAAGAGGAAAAGGAAAGGAAGAGGAAAGGAAGGTAGGGAGGGAGGGAAAAAGGAAAAAGGAAGGAAGTTAGGCAGGAAGGAAGGAAAGAAGGGAGGAAATAACCTAAAGTATAGAAAATAAAAATGTATTACATATAATAAAGGTTATCAGTAGTGTTACAGAATAAAGGTTATAATTTACTCACTTTTCAGGCTCTCGGGGGGTAGAAGAGCCCCTGTAAAGTTGACCAGAATGCCCACTAGCAGCAGTGATAGAGGAACCATCCTCATTTTCTCACTGGATATCTCTGTAAGAAGAACACAAATACATATGAGGGATCACCCATTGCCAAGCCTGTATGAAATATATTGTACTTGACTTCAGAAACAAATTAGACAGGAAAGGGACAATAGGATGGGTCCTTGTCACTGGCCAGGAACCCATCTACCCATCAGCTGCACACCCTTCAGGGTATAACTTTCTGTGAGCCCTTTAACATCTGCATAATACTGTGACTACCACTGATAATAAAAAGATATTTTTCAGCGGCAGTTTTCACTATGTGGATCTACTGTATATGACACTGTTTGAATTTAATTTGCATCCTTATTCAAGTTAAATGGGAAGTTTGACCAGGACACATTAATCAGAATACCTAAAGCGACCCTGTCAATTGCCTGAAAAACCTTTAAAGAATATGTAAACCCAACATTTCATATTCCTGATATGTGCCTGCTGTACCATGTACCATCCCTGGTGTTCCTCCCAGCCCCTCTGCTTTCCTATTAAAAACTGACCACACCAGGCAGGAGAGCACAGTGTGGTCAGCTCGCTAGCTTTGCTGGGAACTCAGTCTGCTCTCCTCCAATGATCAGACTTGACCTGACTGCCCCCCCCCCCTTCCTGCACAGCCATTTACTAGGAAGACCAGGGTGCTGCTGTTTCTCCTCCCCTGGTTTTCTATGCAGCTGAGCAAAGAGGGTATGTGATCGCTTATAAAAAGAGGGTAAAGGTATTTATAATGTGTTTTTATATCTATACACAAATGTTTTGCCTTTCATTTCGGTTTTAAACTGAATGGGTTATTTTACAAGGTGAGGCATATACTTTAACTGGAGGTTTCCTGCACTGCACTTCTGGCAGACACTGTATCCCCCTGCCGCATACGATGCTTCCACCAACTGACCCCTAAGACACCTGTGTTATGTAATGACATAGGAGGGCAGAGGAAGGACTCGCAGTGCATGGCATGGGACATGGGAATCCAAGACTCCCCAAAGTTTTGAATAATGAAGATTCTGACAGAGGCTACAGCTCTGGAAAGAAGTGAAGATAGGAGACACAGGCCACCAGAGAGGTGGTATGTATACAGTAGTGCACATGTCCACAACTAATGTGCACTGCTTGTTACAAACAAATGGAAAAGAGAGGAAAAGGAGAGGTTTGGGAGCTCACAATTTCAAAGAGGCAGAAAAAAACACAGTAAGAAACTATTTCATGAAAAAAATGACATGGCCATTGAGTAATGGATGCATAAAGATTATTTTTGGAGAATAAAGTTATAGTTTATTGTCACTTTAAGAAGCCACCTGTGTCCTAGTAACAGGGCCATTGGCCACTGCTGAAGCGTCACATGCATACAGAACACGTTTTACTCAGGGTCTTGCTGCCAACTCATGCATACTAAATGTCACAATTTTTTAGCCCCCATTCTCAGCACTGTAGTGCAGTGTTAAACATTGCCTACACGCACACTTGTGTTGCGTTGTGCTTTTCATGTAGTGCAGCCCATTCATTTCAATACACGCAGCAAATGCAGCAAGAAGAAGCATGCACCTTTTTTTCCCAGTGTTTCTTAACCATGCAAGAAAGGACAATTTGCTTAGTGTGTTTCAGGATGCACCAAGGGAAAAAGAATCCATTGAGAGAGTACAACACTGGGGGTACATTGTTTGGTTAGCACTTCAGAGGAAAATAATTTGGGGGTACTTATTTCAGATGATTGCAGAATGAGCAAACAGGGATCATTGGCAGGAGGAAGGAGGTCCTGATTCCTCTATATAGATCTTTATATCACTAGAGGGGTCACCAACAGGAGGAAGGAGGTCCTGATCCCTCTATATAGATCTTTATATCACTAGAGGGGTCACCAACAGGAGGAAGGAGGGTCCTGATTCCCCTATATAGATCTTTATATCACTAGATGGGGTCACCAACAGGAGGAAAGAGTCCTGATTCCTCTATATAGATCTTTATATCACTAGATGGGATCACCAACAGGAGGAAAGAGGTCCTGATTCCTCTATATAGAGCTTTATATAACTAGAGGGGTCACCAGCAGGAGGAAGGAAGTCCTGATTCCATCTATATAGATCTTTATATCACTAGAGGGGTTGCCAGCAGGGGGAAGGAGGTCCTGATTCCTCTATATAGATCTTTATATCACTAAAGGGGTCACCGGCAAAAGGAAGAAGGTCCTGATTTCTCTATATAGTAGATCTTTATATCACTAGAGGGGTCACCGGCAGGAGGAAGGAGGTCCTGAATAGTCTGTATAAATCTTTATGTCACTAGAGGGGTCACCGGCAGGAGGAAGGAGGCTCTGATTCCTCTACGTAGATCTTTATATCACTAGAGGGGTCACCAGCAGGAGGAAGGAGGTCCGGATTCCTCTACATAGATCTTTATATCACTAGAGGGGTCACCAGCAGGAGGAAGGAGGTCCTGATTCCCCTATACAAATCTTTATATCACTAGAGGGATCACTGGCAGGAGGAAGGAGGTACTGATCCCTCGATATAGATCTTTATATCACTAGAGGGTTCTCCAGCAGGAGGAAGAAGGCTCTGATCCTCTACATAGATCTTTATATCACTAGAGGGGTCATCAGCAGGAGGAAGGAGGTCCTGATTCCTCCAGATAGATCTTTATATCACTAGAGGGGTCACCAGCAGGAGGAAGGAGGTCTTGATTCCTCTACATAGATCTTTATATCACTAGAGGGGTTGCCAGCAGGAGGAAGGAGGTCCTGATTCCTCTATATAGATCTTTATATCACTAGAGGGGTCACCGGCAGGAGGAAGGAGGCTCTGATTCCTCTACATAGATCTTTATATCACTAGAGGGGTCACCAGCAGGAGGAAGGAGGTCCGGATTCCTCTACATAGATCTTTATATCACTAGAGGGGTCACCAGCAGGAGGAAGGAGGTCCTGATTCCCCTATACAAATCTTTATATCACTAGAGGAATCACTGGCAGGAGGAAGGAGGTACTGATCCCTCGATATAGATCTTTATATCACTAGAGGGTTCTCCAGCAGGAGGAAGGAGCCTCTGATCCTCTGCATAGATCTTTATATCACTAGAGGGGTCATCAGCAGGAGGAAGGAGGTCCTGATTCCTCTACATAAATCTTTATATCACTAGAGGGGTCACCAGCAGGAGGAAGGAGGTCTTGATTCCTCTACATAGATCTTTATATCACTAGAGGGGTTGCCAGCAGGAGGAAGGAGGTCCTGATTCCTCTATATAGATCTTTATATCACTAAAGGGGTCACCGGCAAAAGGAAGAAGGTCCTGATTTCTCTATATAGTAGATCTTTATATCACTAGAGGGGTCACCGGCAGGAGGAAGGAGGTCCTGAATAGTCTGTATAAATCTTTATATCACTAGAGGGGTCACCAGCAGGAGGAAGGAGGTCCTGATTCCCCTCTATAGATCTTTATATCACTAGAGGGATTACTGGCAGGAGGAAAAAGGTCCTGATTCCTCTATATAGTAGATCTTTACATCACTACAGGGGTCACCGGCAGGAGGAAGGAGGTCCTGATTAATCTGTATAAATCTTTATATCACTAGAGGGGTCACCGGCAGAAAGACGGAGGTCCTGATTCCCCTATATAGATCTTTATATCGCTAGAGGGATCACCAGCAGGAGGAAGGAAGTCATGATTCCCCTATATAGATCTTTATATCACTAAAGGGGTCATCAGCAGGAGGAAGGAGGTCCTGATTCCTCTATATAGTAGATCTTTATATCACTAGAGGGGTCACCGGCAGGAGGAAGGAGGTCCTGATTAATCTGTATAAATCTTTATATCACTAGGGGGTCACTGGCAGGAGGAAGGAGGTCCTTATTCCCCTATATAGATCTTTATATCACTAGAGGGATCTCCGGCAGGGTGAAGGAGGTCCTGATTCCTCTATATAGATCTTTAATTAGACCTCATTTAGAATACTGTGTCCAGTTATGGAGACCTCGCTTACAAAAAGATATTGATAAGATAGAACGAGTCCAGAAATGGGTAACAAAAATGGTGAGATCCGGGGGATAAAACACATCGAGCAACTTCAGGATCTTAAACATGTACAGTCTGGAGGAGATAAAGGGAAAGGGGAAACATGACTGAGACCTTTAAATACATCAAGGGGATAAATAAGGTTCAGGAGGGCAGGATTTTCAACATGAAACATAAATCAAGAACACGGGGACATGACCTCAAACTAACTGGAGGAAAGTTCACAACTAATGTCAGAAAGTACTATCTTACTGAAAGAGTAGTTGATGCTTGGAATAAATGTCCAGAAGAGGTAGTGAGCCAGTCAACAGTAAATATGGTAGCTTCAAACGTACTTGAGACAAGCATAGATCTATACTCAGACAAAAAAGTAAAAAAAAAAAAACAAACACAACTACCCTCCACCCCTCAAAATGCTAACCCCCCGCCCAAAAAAAAAAACCTAAAAAAAAAATACAAACACTACCCCCCCCCAAAAAAAAAAAAAAGACAGGCAGACTTGATGGACCACTTTTTCCATCACTTTTCTATGTTTCTATATTTCATTAAAAACGAATGGCACTGCAAATGCGACACCCATGATTTGGCGCACATTCAAACGCTACACTAGTGAGAATGTTGTTGCACCGTTGATCATATATCACGCCCGATGTTTTCTACACTAATCTCATACAGATAGCTAGACACAAACCCACCTGGCGGAATAAAAGCAAGCTGTTTTGTAAAGAACGTGTATAACAGATGTTTCCCAGACTTTCCCAGAAGAAGAAATCTTATGTAACATCTTTACAGTAAGGAGGAGTGGAAAACATGGCTCAGGCTGTCAGGAAGACCAGGGAGGGGAGCGGAGAGCGGGGCTGCGTACATGGATTGCATAACTATACAAAACACACAGGAGTCAGATGTCCCTGAGGTCAATAGTCACAAAGTAACTCACAACCTCCTCCACTCAGGGGCAGACTGACCATTCGAGCATGCTCCACTACAAGAA